CAAAACTGGTGAACCAGTTTTAGCGACAGAAGGACACTTGCTGGCAATATGTGATTTCTCACTACAATGCTTACACTTCCTAAAGACAAGATTTGCTTTAGGGCCAGGAAATATCAGATTAGAAATGGGACCAGCTCCAAGAATACCCTTCTCATTAGTTCTAGGAGGAACTTTTGAGGAACTGGGTTCTTTAGGTGAAAAGTTCACCTTGAGCTGTGACTTAGATTTCTGAAGAGATTCAGATTTCCTAGTCCCTGAAGAAGAAGAAGTTTTGCAAGCTGAAGGAATAGACCTAGATCTATTAGACTTGTTTGACTTCTTAGAAAAGGATGTTGTGACAACGGTTTTACCTTTGTCTTTGCACCCAGAACTCAAAGGAGTTCCTTCAAGATGACTCTCAGAAAGGGAAGAGGACTGAGAGGAAGAAGTGTTGGGAATAGAAGAGACAAAGGTGCCAAACTTGAGCACGGACCTGTCTACAACACTATCTTCCTGATCATAGGAAAATCCTAGACCAGCCTTTGTCTTGGCAGGGATCTGAGCATTAATGATCTCAGAGGCTTTAGAAGAAGCTTTACACCATCCTTCAATGGTAGCTTTCTCAGCCTTGAGTTCAGCGATGGCTCGCTCACGCTCAGCGATAGCTCGCTCACGCTCAGTGATAGCCTTCTCACGTTCAACAGTGATGGTTTGGTTTACAATAACCTGATCTTTAAGATTTTCCTCAACAGAGGTCAATTCTTTGATCTTAGAATGACAAATCTTCAATTGTTCATGAAGATCAACATTAAGCATTTCAGCTTTTGATTTGCCATTGAGGGCATTGTAAAGGTCAACCGTCAGAGTTTCCTGTGCAAAAAGACTAGGAGAAGAAGAAGAGGGTTCATTCAGGAAACATACCTGAGTAGAAGAAGAAAATGGCTCTAAGGAGGTGGATGCTTCAGAAGATCCTTCATCGGCATTAAAGGCCATCATGCAGACGTAGGCTTTATCTTCTTCATCAGAAGATGATTCATCAGATGATTCAGCCCAGTTATACTCTTCAGCAACAAGACCTTTAGACTTGTGCTGGTTTTTTTTTCATCTTATTGTACTTCTCCTTCAGTTTAGAATACTTCTCATCTACGGTCCTGAAGGAGGAAGGAGCTTTAGAGGATGGCGTCACAGTCTTCTTTGATCTGCATTCACCTATAAAGTGTCCAGGCCGGTGACAATTATAGCAGATAGCTGAAGCCTTGTCTATTCTTTCAGACTTGGGCTTCTCCCTTAGGGATAGCTGAGGAGATCTGCGGAATTTACTTTTATTGGCGAACCTCCTAAATGACTTAGTTAGGAGTGCCAAGGACTCATCAAAATCTGTTAAATCAGATTCTGGAATGTCCTCAGAAGAGTCCATCTCCGTGATGACCACGGGAGGAAGAGAAGAAACAAAAGGAGTAGAAGTATCAACTGAAGAAGATTCAGAGATCAAAGGTAAAGGAGAGCTTTTCATTTCCATGGATTCTTTTACAAGATTCCTTTTCAGTTGACGAGATTGCTCATGGTTAAGCAGAATCCCGTATAAAGACGAAAGAGAAAGAGBGGMCATGTCATTTGACATCTTAAGACACATGGAAAAGGTGTCCCAAGACTCAGGAAGACATTYTAGAAACTTAGTCAAGGTTTCAGAATTAGAATATTCCCTGTCGACAGCCCTAAGATCAATAAGAA